AAGAGAACAAATTTCTCTTAGAATATTGATCTGCTTTTGACAACAGACTGTAAAGTTTCTTTACCTTTTAAGTAATCTCTCATAACTTTCTGTATTGTTTTTGAAATCTTTTATTGCCACTTTTGTTAAGTGAATAAGCATTATTTCACAGTGACCCTTGATCCTATTTGAACAAGTGTTTTAAAACCTTTTTGATGTATTTTTAAAAGGTGTATTGAAGTGTAGTTGATTTACAATGTTAGATTCAGGTGTATAGCAAAGGGATTCAGTTATACATATACATATATATTTTCTTTTCAGATTCTTTCCCATTATATGTTCTTACAAGAAATTGAGTGTAGTTCCCTATGCTATATAGTAGGTCTTTGTTGTTTATCTATTTTACATATAGTAATGTAAACTTTTTTTGGATATTTACAGACTTCCCAAAGATCAAATTCTAAATGAAGTTCATTTGAGCTCTAGCTAACTTTCAGGTTTTCCAAAGGGCCCATGGAACACCTCAAGAGATTTGTTTTCTTTTCTTATCAAAGAGAGGTATTAAATTAATTAGGTTTATTTGGTATGTTAAATTACATGGGAAGCATTGTCAAATGAGTGATAAACTTTCCTAGATTATATTGTATGGATAAATGTTATTAATATGGATATCCTGGAAATGATATGGAATTCTTAAAAATCTGGTGTGTCCTGGCAAAATGTTATCAATCATAATTCTATTTATTGTCTTAAACTGTTGTGTGTCACAGCAGTAACCAAATTTCTTTGTCAATAGCATTGTAATCATATCTTTAATCATGACCTTTAAAATCTTTTGTCATTTATAGACAGTTATTATGTTATTGGTGCTTTTGCAAAAAAAAAGCTTCATTTTCAAGAAGATTCATAGATTTTTTGATAAGTACAGGTTTCTAACAGGTTTCAGATTGTATCACTGAACTGGGTAAGAAATTAAAGAATTCTAATGGAAACCCTGATGGCTTCATAAAACTAACAGCTAATGCTAATACAGGAGATCAAGGATTAGTTACATAACATTGAGTAAATTGATGACTATGGTTATAATTTTGGTGGTTTTTTTTTTCTGTCTGAAATATTACTGACTTTTAATCTGTATTTTCCAGAGATAAGGAAAGCTTTCCCCTTAAGCTAATTATGACTTACGGCAAATTGGTAAATTATACCCTTGTAAGCAGAATTTAAACATCTATCTTTTCTCTCTACCTGACCCCTCCAGAAACTGGAAACTCTTAGGTTCCCAGGAGCCTTATCAGTTGAGTAATGAAGGCCACATCCTGCCAAATGCAGGAATCTCAAGCTATCTTGGGGACTTCAAGAGGAGAGGAATTCACCCCAATTTGTAGATACTGCAAGTGGAACCTGATGGCAAGACCTTGGCATGGCTTTCCTGGCCTTGAGAAGCCAACTTTAAAAGAGCCTGTATAATCAACGACACTTATATAGTAATCAGGCCAAGTTTATTGAAACCAGACTTATGTTGCAAACAAGTTAGTCTTAATTTGGCTTTATTTGATAGAAATGGGGGTAATTTTAGAGAGAAGATTGTTTCAGTGGATGCTGGGTTCTAGAGCTGTATTTACTGCCTAAGACTCACTTCCCAGATAGCTCCTCATTGCCATGTTATTGTAAAGTTTAATTAAATTATTAAAAGAGTATTGAGTTTGTTTCGGAAGCTTGTTATAATGATCTATCATTGGATGAAGATCAGATGCCCCATGACCTTGCAAATAGGGGATTATGTAAACTGGAAAAGGTATCATTTAAAAAGCTATCTCCAACCTAGACGAAAAGACCCTTATCAGGTCCTTAACTGGCTCATGTGCAGCAAAACTGAAGAGAAGTGACTCTTGGATTCATATTTTCCACTTAGATAGGGCCCTTGCAATGAACTGGTCTATAGAGAAGACTGCTAACTCAAACTCACCTTAAAACAACGCTCAGAGGAGAAACTTCAGTTCCATAGGAAAAGAAGACAACATCAGAAGTAGACAGCTATCCCAAGGTGCCAGACCTGGCCCCATTTGATTATTTGCAGTGTTTTCTTGATTTCTTGAAATTTTGCAAAAATTAAAAATTTTTTTTATCATGGGCATGATCCTATGCAGAGTTTAGAAATCAATGGCTGGGTTTAAGATCAGTTACCTACATTTACTACCTCTATACCTTGGTGGATTTCTCCTCACCTAATTAGATGCCCTTAGGAAATTTATTCTAGACAAAGTAAGTTATAGTTCCGTTTAGGCTACTATTGATATTACTGGATGTTATCCCTTCACTTGCCCAATCAACGATACTTGCTCTGACCGTGGCCATAAATATGAATTTCTTTAAAGTTACTCAAGCTCAATTAGAGATACAAGCTTAATCTCTGTCAAAGAATATAACCCCTTTCAGTTATGAGACGGACTTGTGTGGTTAAAACCAGGCTACCATCATTTAAGTTTAAAAGCTCCCGTATGCAGGGAACAATTAAACCCTACTAAGGATACTAAGCCTAGTAACGCTGGGCAGTTGGGCTGGGTGCCTCGTGAGCAATACCAACACATCATTACCTTTAAACATGGCAACTACTATGGGACAGCCTGGGTGATGACCTGGAAATATACTGGGCCACACCTAATGGCAGTCCTTGGCTTAAATTCTTACTCATGACCTACTAGCTATATTACATGTGTCCTGCCTATTTTGCAAGATTATTGTTTCTTGCATAACCAAATGTGTGACTGAGCGTCTGATAAAAGGATGACTAGGCGACTTCACGTGATTGGCCACATATATAGTTCTACATGAGATCAGTGACTTTAATAGTGTGACTCTAGATATGGGAAGAAGCAACAAGAAGAACTCTTTTCCTGGACCACAGTAGTCCAGTAATAGCACACTGAGTAGCCTGTCAAAGAAATCTGGCTTGACCTGGGAATGAGCATTCCTAGCACCGTGGGACAAAATGGTCATTAAATGCCTCCCAAACCTTGGTCGAATTTATGAGCACGAGAGGGCACTGCCAGCTGAAGAAGATCAGTCGCCATCTGGCTCTACAGGGATTGAGTTATTACCCACGGCAGTCACTGACCTTTAACACACCCCGGACGAAATTCAGGACAGAGATTAGGAATGAGGCTCTGGGAAGACTAGAAGGACAGACCTTCAGATAGGTAGATATTTTCAGGAGAAATTTTTTGTAAATCTGAATTCTGGCATCTTTCCACACTTGGAAGGAATTAAAACCATTAACTAAGGAATGTGTTCCTCAGGACTAGCAGTAACATTCTACTGAGATGGGCACTCGGTTTCATGTACCCCCTTTGCCAAAATCGCATGCATAGTGACCTCCCCCCTTACCTCTTCTGAGCAGTTCCTCACAGCTATCTAAGAGGCTGTCTCCTGGGCTATAGTATTCAGCAAGTCCTTAAATAAAACTGAGACTCAGAGTTCTCATGTTGTGCATTTTTATTTCAGTAGGCATGAGCCAAAACAGAGGTGTGATTTAAGAATAAAATTGTCAGCGCAGTCAGATACTCTAAAAGCTCATGCAAGATAAAGACTGAAAAGTGATCATACCTGATGATTAAATGCTGCCCATAGTAATAGTAATTTCAGTTTAGTGTGGGTGCAAAGTCTGATCACAGCAAGTCTAAGAGCAAGGGGGGATTTGAGGAGATGCAGCTAATAATCCAAGACTGTTTTGCTTTGTTGAGAAAGATAGAGGTTACTGTGGGGTTGTATGGATGGAGGACTTGAAAACAATGTAAGAGATTTGGGGTTTTGACCATCAGTGAGTGGGACTACGTGGGGAGGAGAAAAACAAGTCAACAGGCGGCTTAGACATAGAGATCCTAGAGGAATGAAAAGATCCGATCAAGGGTCAAATGAAAAAGAGACTTCTTTGGAGTTTGGAGAAGGGATGTGGGTAAAATTACAGAAAATGGGGAACTGAGGGAATTCAGGAGTCACACTGAATGGCCTCAATTTCCCCTGGAATAACAGGGTTTTCTGCAGAGACCGAGGAGGGCAGAAGTGGAGCAAATGACTTGGGGAGAGTGCTGAATGTTTGGGAGACAAAGGTGCTCAGGAAAAAGTAGAAAGGATCATTGAGAGTTGCTGAGGGATCGGCTGAAGCTGTTTGACTATGAATTTAATGTGGCAATAATCTCAAAACTTTTCCTTCCAATTCTGTCTTGCAGACTGTAAGCTACAGGGTAGTAAGCTGAAGACTGACCTCTACTTAAACTCCTATCCCCAATGGCCTAGACGCACAGACATGAGGGCATGTGCCCCAGTCGTGTGCGCCTACCACACATTTATCAGCATCACCCGAAGGGCCAGCATGCTTGTATTCTAAGACGTCTTGTCCTACAGAATCAGCATCCAAAGGCTTTTACAGAATTTGAGACATTTTTTTTAAAGAAGGGGAGAGAAGCCAGGAGATGAGATGTGTGAACGGGTTAAAGAAAATGCACAACCTGAAAGTTTCAAATTAAATTTTATTTGAGGACAAAACTAAGAACTATAGTCGAGGAGACAGCCTCTCAGCTCCGAGGAACTGCTCCAAAGAGGTAAGTGAGGAGCCAGGATATGTGGGAGTTTTTGTTTGTTTGTTTGTTTTTGTTTTATCTGGCTAAAAACACGTATTAGAACATCAGAAGTTTACTGCTAATCACAAAGAACAGGTATCTCAAGTCAATGATTTTAGTGCTTTTCTATCTAGAGGAAGATGCAAAAGTCTGAACTCACTGAAATTATTCCTTAGGTATGCATCTTAACTATCTAGGGCCAGTACCCAGAGCACACAGTGTTTCCTTTTTTCCTCCATTCTGAATTCCCCTCAGGGCGCACCATGGGAGGCAGCTGCAATGGCTGGTGGCTTGATCCTTGTAGAACTGGAATGGTAGGCAACATTCCGTGGTCCACAGGGTCTACCTTTTCTTCTCCAGATCCATCCGAGGGAGGGCAGGTGGCTGCTCGGCGGGCAGGTGCGGCTCCTCCCAGGGGAGGAGGGGGCCCTGACCAGGCGGGGCCAGGCACAAAGGTCTCTGCCATTGGCCCAGCCCCGGCTGCATCTGCCCCCTAGCCAGCAGGCCCTTAGCACAAAGTCTGCTGGCCAGGCCTAAGAGGCAGCGGTCAGCAGTGCAGGTGGGTCCCCGCCCTCAGCCAGGCAAGATGCCCCTGGGGCTGCTGCGCAGAAAGAAGAAACTGAACACCAAGGAGACCTCCCGGCTGGTAGAGGGCAAGCAGAAGGATGCGGCTGGCGGCAGCGTCCCAGAGCCCCGGGCGCCCACCCGCAGGCTGGTCTTCCACACGCAGCTGGCCCACGGCAGCGCCACGGGCAGAGTGGAGGATTTCTCCAGCGTCCAGGAGCTCTACGCCAAGATCGCGGGCGTGTTTGAGATCTCGCCGTCCGAGGTAAGCGCCAGGTGCTCGGGCTCAGCCTCTCGCCGCCTCTCCCAAGCGGCGCGCCGGCTTAAATTGGCTGGGACTGGTTGAGAGCCTCGCCTCCCGGATCCCCACGTCGGAGGCGGGATGGGGTCCGCTGCGAGCGCCCCAGGAGGCGCGAGAGGTCCTTACTGGGGAGGGAAAAGGTAAGTCCCCGGACCGGAGAAAGTCGCCTTCTCCAGGCTCGGAGATCCGAGCCTCTGGGAAACCCCGGGGCGACCTTCTTCCTCATGCAAATGAGTAGGCTCGAGTCCCGGATTCCGCGGTCGGCGGCGTCAGCGCCTTCCCAGCGTCGAGGTCTGGCTCGGCAGATTAACATCCTTCATTTATCTGGACTTTGCTCTCCTGCTTCCTCTGCAAGGGTGAGAGGGCCACGCTGAGCATCTCTGGGATTGAGGGGAGAGGGGGTACCTTCCAGGTGATACCAAACCGAGCCTCACTTTGCCACTCATATGCCATACCCAGCAACACTTCGATACTTCTAAGAAGCTTATTATTCCAAGGATGGATAACTAAGAGTTATTTTTAGCTACGTGGGACCAGAGGAGAAAGCAGCTCTAAATTTTACACCAAATCCTTGAAAAGAGACTGAAATTTGCTTTAATTAGATCGATTGCATGCGTGCCTGGAGCTGGAGTGTCTTGTAGGCTGACTTCCAAAGCACTTGTTTATGTGGACCTTTACGTGACCACATTATGTATACTTTCCCAAGCTGCTTTTGCAGTTGCAAACGCAGGTGTGAGATTTTAGCCCAAGAAAGTGCTTTGTCCACATTTCAAGGAAAAGCACAAGATCTTGTTGCCTGGGACTCCTGGGAGTGCAGAGAGCTGCCTTCAGTGGCACAGAGTGGCATTTGGCTATGTACTCTTTAACGTTCTTTATCAGTTCTTCTCAAGCGAAACTGATGTCAAGGCAAAATTCCGAGAGGAGATGAAAAGAGAGCTTGAAGCTAACCTTTTGTTCTTTCAGGGTTCCCAGGCACCTGAGAGGCAAATAAAAGCCATTCTGTGAAGTCTTTATGTTGATATAGAGTACTAAGAATAATAGTTCATCTTTGTATAGAGCGTTTCAATTCAAAAAGCAGCCTTGCAGGAGTAATGTTCTTTGATCTTCCCTAGGACAGGTAGGTGGCTGGTAGTCAAGGACAGGATTTGGAGACTGATATCCTGGATGTGGATCCAGGTTCTACTAGTTTTAACTAGCTGGGTGACCTTGAACGGGTTTAACTTCTCTCAGTGTCAGCCATTTGTGAAATAGAGATGAAGTGGGAGGGTATAGCTCAGTAGTAGAGCACATGCTTAGCATGCACGAGGTCCTGGGTTCAATTCCCAGTACCTTCATTGATAAGACAAAAAACCCTAATTACCTCCCCCCTACCGAAACAACAACAACAAAACAAAACAAACAAAAAAACAAAAACAGAGGGATAAGAACACGTACCTTGAAGGGTGGTTGTAAGGTATATGGTAAGTGCTTAATGAATTGTAACTAATATTATCAATACCTAATAGTTAAATGAGGGGCTGAGGGGGCTGAGGTTCAGGATGATTGGACTTTGGCCAGGGTCACATAGCTAGCAAGAACGGAGCTGGCCTGTTACTTATATTTGGATCTTCCGGTTTCTAAGCTAAGTGAGCTTGTTAGCATACTAACCAACAACTTTGAATGTCTCTCCTGTAACCACGGACTCCAGATTTAGTTACTTTGCATTGTCTTCCTCAAGATACACGACTATTCAATTCACTTAATCCCTGAGAAGTATTATTATTAATTTCCTTGCTTCACAGGTGGGAAACTAATGCTTTGAGGTTCAGGAAGTTTTCAGAATTACAGAGTAAGTGACAGAGCCTGGCTTTAAACTCAGGTTTGTTTTTTTTTTTTCCTGGCTCTAAGTTTAATGAAGTTATATTGTTATATTGCTTCCCAAGTTTTTCAGGGTGTCTGAGCAATAGCATGTTCAGCATTTTCAGTTTCCAATGCACTGACTTGCATTAAAATTTCAAGAAAAATAAACATTAGGTATTTTGATGTGCTTTATCAAAGTTCATATCTTTTTATGACTCTAGATATATATTAATGTTTACATATATATAACCAACAGTGATGCAAGTTTTCCATTTGGATTAGAAAGAGTTAAGTAGATCTGGGGTAAAGTTTTGATCATCATAGTATATGTGACAGAATCTCAATAGTTACTTTTGAAAGAAGTAATTTATTGAAATAAGATGCACACTAGTGAGATCTCATTTCTCACCCCATTTCCCCAGCAAGAGGGACAGTGGCATAAACTTTTGCAATGTCAGTGGGAACAAAACAAAAATTTCCCCCCTTAATATGATTATCTCAGAAGTCCTATCTTTTCTTTAAGAAGAGGAGTGACTGTAAGGATATAATCAGCACTGAGTGGAGAAGTGTACTCTCTCTGCTAAGGAAGAAAGGGAAGGAGTTGGTCTGGCCTGCTATCTGGTTTAGCAGATCCTGGCAGATTTACTAGGAGCCAATGATGTGTCCACGGCTGTGTGAGGCATGTAAGTCTACAGGGTGGTCATTCCATCCTCACCATAGCAATGAGTCAAGGATTCTTTTCATTTTCCAGCTGAGCTAAGTGATGCTCTGAGAAGTTGAGTAGCTTGCCCAGAGTCACTGAACTGGTATGGGACAGAGCCAGGAGTTGAATTGAGGTTTCCTTGTTCCAAGTTTATTACATAGCAACTGTGGGATTCTTGGTCACTGATCAAATTCCAAATGCAAACCAGGTGGTAGTGGGGAGTATAGCTTACTGGTAGAGCACATGCTTAGCATGCATGAGGTCCTGGGTTCAATCCCCAGCACATCCATTAAAACAACAACAACAACAACAACCCCATAAACCAGGCAAATTCTTTTTATTGTATTCTTTCTTTTTTAATGGGAGGTACTGGGGATTGAACCCAGGACCCTCTGCATTCTAAGCATGTGCTCTACCACTGAGGTATGCCCACCCCCTAAAACTTTTTCTAAGCAAATGATCTTTCCAATGAAAGCCTCAGATTCAACCACAAAAATACTTAGTGCCTCAAAAAATGCTGCTGTGAAACTGACAATTATAGATTTCGCCTATTTCATGGTTCCTGAAGGAGGAAGCTAATGAAACCTATGGGTCACGTGCACAGTACAGTCTGTAATCATTACCTTGAAAACAGATGGCCAGTTATACAAAAATCCCCTACAGGTGATATCATCTATTCTAAACAGCTAAGTGAGCAATTCAGTAAAAAGAAAAAAAAACAGTAAATCTCATCTAAAAGAACAGTTAACTCAGAAATGCTGGGACACTTTTAGAAAAAGTTTAATGCCATCTTTTGAAATATTCAGGATCCACACAAAAGTTGGTCACCAAACCCTTGAGCTGTGTAGTAGTAAAATTTGTTGGAGGGGCGTTTTGAGTGTTTGGCCACTGTAATTGTTTGACAAGTGGTTTGTGTCATGACATGTATTCTTAGTTCTCTACTACGTGGAAAGATTGTAAGAAGAGTGAATATGAAGGAGCTTTATAAGAAATCACTTTGTAGTTAGATATTTTTACATGTCCAGAAGCTGAAAACTCTTTATAGATTTCAGAAATTATTAACTTTGATTTGGTTATATTAGTCTATCTATGATATAATACTAAGTAGTTCATTGAGTAAATATATCAAGCAAATGTAGCCCCTTCTCTCTCAATACATATAAGCAGTGTGCTTGGGAAGCAGAAAAGGTGAGAATTGTGATTTTAATTCCCAGCCATATGTTCAACATAAAACGTGCTATTATTTCTCTTAAAAAAACAAAACAAACCTTCTTTTGTTGCCTGTCCCCATCCCTTCTGCTATTACCTCATTTCTCCTTTACAGCAAAACTCAAAAGTTGCTGTTTCCAATGAGATACATTCTGTGTCTCATCTCTCTGCTCAAAACTCTCCAATAGCTCCTCCTCTAACTTGGCACAAAGGCCAGAGCCCAGCGGTGCTCATAGGTCCTGTTGCCTCTCTAACGTTGCTGGTCCTCTTGTCCGGCCAGTCTGGCCTCCTGGTTGTTCTTTGCAGTCTGGAGCCTTAGGACTTTTGCATTGGCTGTTGTCTCTACCAGAGCCTCTTCCTGTAGAACGCTCTTCCTTCTTTACATCGGCTCCCATATCACCTCCTCGGTGAGGCTGGGTACCGATCCTCCCTGAAGATGACAGTGCCTCCTGACCCCTTCTGCCCTTAGTTTCCCTCATAGCGTACTAACATCCTATGTCGATTTAACTTACTTCGTTTATTGCCTTTTTCCTCTTCAGTGTACTAAAAGCAAAGATTTTGTCTATTTTGTTTACTGATGCAGCCCCTAAGGGCCTCGAACTGTATCTGAAACATAGTTGGAGCTCAAAAAATATTTGTTGAATATAAGACCCCTCATAAATACAGTACTTAAAATCCTGTAGCTTTGGCATAAAGCTCTAGTACCAGTTACAATATTGTATCTTATGTAGGTGTTAATTTTTTTTTATATTGTAGTGTCAGAAAAGAGACTTGCTGTGGGGCTGGGGAGGGGGGCAGGAGTGAGGAGCATCACTCATATCTTGAAAGGGGAGTAGTAAGAGGGTGAAGTATGGAGACTGGGAAGCTAAGTAAAAGTTGTATCAAACGTTTGCATGTCTACAAATTCCAGAAATTATGATGTTGGAGGCACTGTTTGCAAACAGAAGGCTTTGCAAGTGAGTTGCAGTGTATGGTGTGTTGGCTTGTAAAACTTTCTAGACACTGAAACTGCTTGCTTTTCTCAACTTGCTGGCACCAGCACTGAGCTCTTGTGAGAGTCGACATTCTGTACCTTTGTGGCCCTTCTGGAGAACACGAACTGTGCTGCAGACTTCAGCACTTCCCAGCAACGCAGACACTGGCAGGTCGAGCTGTGTCTTTCTGCCTCACAAATGGGAAATCCAGGAAGAACAGCACAAAATGGGGCTCACCG